AGGCCAACCCTGCCATTCACTCTCACATGACTTTACGCAAATAGCCTCTCTCTGCTTCAGTTTTCACATCTGCAAAATGGGAATAAGATCGCACAGCAAAACAGCTCCTGCTCTCCTAGTGTGAGGATTTTATGAGTCAGTACTTCTGAAGTGTTTCAACCTGCCTGGCTCTTGGCAAACACTATGGAAGTGTCAGCGAGGATTATCACAGGCCGCTTGTAACAAACATGCAAACACATTCCAGTTGCTGGTACACAGATTAAGATTCAGCAGTGGCACTCAGCAACTACTGTAGCAAATATTAGTTGTTTAAAAATCATAGCTGGAGCTTTTCGTGAAAAAAGAAGGCTACTAAGTTCTGAGGTCCTCAGGCAGGCATGCTGATGAAATACCATTCAGAATGAGGCTGTGCTGTTTGACTTTTCAAAAGAGATCATTTCTTAAAAGAGATCCATCCACCACCGCAGCAGCCTTTGAACCACTCTTTGCCCTGCTCACAAGTCAACCTGGAAAGCAAATAAAACAATAATTTGCTGTCAGAGAGGATCCCTTGTCATTTAAAATCACCTCAGAGCTCATTAGAAATTCTTAAGGCCATGTCGGTTACACATGGAATCTTAAAGGGGAAAAAAAAGAAGGTAGAAAGTGGAACTCATAGAGAGTACAAAGTGGTTGTCAGGGGCTAGGCACTGACTGAAATTGGGAGAGGTTGGTTAATGGTTATCAACATTCAGTTATGAATAAGGTCTCAGGATCTTACCTATAACACGGTGACAAGAGACCCACTTCAGACCTAGAGATACATACAGACTGAAAGTGAGAGGATGGAAAAAGGTATTCCATGCGCATGTTATCGTAGAACTGAAATTGGCTAAGAAAGTAGAACTTATGTGTTCTCATCCAAATAAAAAGAGAAAATATGAGAGGTGATAGATGTGTTATCTCCATGGGGATTTCCTTTCACAATGTATCAAATCATATGCATCAAATCATCACACTGTACATTTAAATATCTTACAATTTTGTTAAGTATACCACAATAAAACTGGGAGGGGGGAGGGCCTACATTGAATTAAAAAACAAAAGAAAGAAAGGAAATGCCTGAGGAAGAAAAAGGTATAGATCACCTGAAAGACAGCAATTTTTTTAGCACTTGGATTTTCATAACTGTACATCATAAAATATAGTTTAAAATTCTACTGTCTTTTAATTGGCAAGTGGAAAGTTCTGAGGAAGCATGATACTGATCTGTGACATTTCTAGCTGATTTATCAGATCTTTTAACTATGAATTATATTATAATTTCTTAGCCAACCAGAACTTATCACAATGCTCAACACACAGTAGGTACTTATTAAATGTTTTTTGAAAGTGTGCATAAGACCAATGAATATATTAAAAATGTAATTAACTATGGTATTTTAGTCTCTCAAAGTAAATAGTAAATACTCGTTATATTTTCCTCTCATATATGTTTTGCTTGCTATTTTCTACATTAAGCCAGCTCTGAGTTTCTCACTGCCATTTTACTACTGTAAAAAGAGTTTTAATACCATCTGTCTTTAAAGGGCTTCTTTATTTCAAAATTCAAAGTACTATAAACAGAAAATTGGCAGAAATCTGTCATCTGGTCCAGCCTTCCTCTTTCAAACAGATGAATGATTTAATTATCCACTAGGGAGAACTTTTGCCCCTTTCATGTCTTTTTCACTTGACTAGTCAAGAAATCGGTCCTTATGGTAACTATATGCCAATATCTCTAATTAAATCCTTTTCTGCTGGCTTGGACATCCATAGATGTAAAGAAAAACTTACCACCATAACCCCTATGAAAACATTTATATACTTAAAAAATTAACATTTTTCTTTAGTTAAATTTCCCAAATCTGCTTACTTTTACCTCTGGGGCCTATTTATACAGATCCTATTGAAGTCCCTATAATTACCTATATTATTTAAGCTACATAAATTGAACTCCAAATTAAAATCCTTAAAGAGTAATTACTATTACAAAAGGCCAAATAGTGGCTTTGACGAACAGAGGATGCCGAATATGGTGGATTGTATCGATTCATAGTTTTTTGTTCCTCTTCACTCTGGTTCCCGAAGGCAGTTCCTGTAGGCAGAGTGTATTTCTCCACTGCACTGACGCTGAGCTTGATCATGTGATTTTCTTTAGCCAATGGAATTCCAGTGGACATGCTATATGTCATTATCAGAGTGGAAGCTTTACATCATTTGCATGGATTGCCTCCTTTCTCCCACTTTCTTAAGCTTTGGCACCTGACTATAAAAAGAGCATATCCCAGGGAGTGCCTGCTTCTCTGACTCTTGTCCAAGAATTTAAAGACCTGTCTAGCCAGTACAGCCCAAATGGATTCAGTAAGCCTAGTCATGCCCAGCAAAGCCACTGCAAGCCCACAGCCCTCGCGTAAAGGAATAAATAATTGTTTCTGTGAGCCGCAGAAATTTGAGGGGCTGTTCATCACTGCAGCAAAAGCTGACTGATAGACCAATGGCAGGAATTGAATAGCATGCTTTCGGTTTCATCACAACAACAAGGAAATAATGGATTTACATACAAGATTCAGTGTGGGTTGTTTTTTTTTTCCCCCTAAAATACATGTTAGAAGTAAAGCTAGGACTTCCCTGGCAGTCCCAGGGGACACAGGTTTGCTCCCGGGTAGAGGAGCTAAGATCCTGCAGGCCACCTAGTGTGGCCAAAAATTAATTGTAAAAAAATAGGGTAATAAGACATCACTCTCATTACTGATTAATAAATGATTAATTCTCTCATTACACAGTTTTATTATGTGCCTTATATTTGTCAGGCTTTCCAGGTGGCTCAGTGGTTAAGAATCCACCTACCAAGCAGGAGACCCAGGTTTGATCCCTGGGTCGTGAAGATCCCCTGGAGAAGGAAATGGCAACTCACTCCAGTCTTCTTGTCTAGTAAATTCCATGGACAGAGGAGCCTGGCAGGTACATTCCATGGGGTCTCGAAGAGTCGGACACAACTGAGCAACTAAACAACAACAGCAATTGTATTTGTCAGACATTGTGTAAAATTGTGTACACTTTTTTCAGTTGGCTCAAATTCACCAAGTTTTCTCAGCCAACAATTTGGTAGGTGAAACTAGAAAATGGTAAATTCTAATTCACAATTTCATTTGATAGCTGCATATGAGCCTTAGCCTAATGAAGCATTTCTCCAAAGATCTTATGCCTTTTTGAGAAATTATCTCATTTACCATTATAGTACCACTATGAGTCAATGGGGAAAACAATGGAAACAGTGACCGACTTTATTTTCTTGGGCCCCAAAATCACTGCAGATGGTGACTATAGTCATGAAAGTAAAAGATGCTTGTTCCTTGGAAGAAAAGCTATGACAAACCTAGACAGCATATTAAAAAACAGAGACATTACTTTGACAACAAAGGTCCATCTAGTCAAAGCTGTGGTTTTTCCAGTAGACATGTATGGATGTAAGCCTTCTTTAACCCATAAAGAAGGCTGAGGGCCAAAGAATTGATGCTTTCAAACTGTGGTGTTAGAGAAGACTCTTGAAAGTCCTTGGACTGCAAGGAGATCAAATCAGTCCATCCTAAAGGGCATCAACCCTAAATATTCATTGGAAGGACTGATGCTGAAGCTGAAGTCCCAATACTTTGGCCACCTGATGTAAAGAGCCGACTCATTAGAAAAGACCCTGATGCTGGGAAAGATTGAAGACAGAAAGAGAAGGGGACGACAGAGGATGAGATGGTTGGATGGCATCACCGACTCAATGGACATGAGTTTGAGCAAGCTCTGGGAGATGGTGATGGACAAGGAAGCCTGGTGTGCTGCAGTCCATGGGGTCACAAAGAGTGCTGAAGTCCATGGGGTCACCTGACTGAGCAACTGAATAACAACAACAATGGGTCAATGAGAAATGTAAAATAAAAACATTCATGAAAATTCAAGATTCAGAAGCTGTTATAGAAACAATTACTAATTTTTATTCACCCACTCAACATAAAATTATTAGTAGGCAAGATGTTAGGTACAAGGGGATGCTATGGAGAATAAGGCAAGATCTCTGCTTATAATTAAATCCAGTGAGACAGAGAAATAAGCAATGAATTACAATGCAATGTGATAAATGCTAAGAATCTTAAGATGGAGAGATAATCCTAGATTATCCCAATGGGTCAATGTAATCACGAGCATCTTTATAAGAGAGAGGGAGATGGTCAGAGTCAGAAACAGAGATGTGACAATGGAGGCAGAAGTCAGAGAGAGATTTGAAGCTGCTACTCCACAGGTCTGGAAGACAGAGGAAGGGGCCACAAGGGAAAGGATGTAGGAGCCTCTCAGTTCAGTTCAGTTCAGTTCAGTCGCTCAGTCATGTCCAGCTCTTTGCAACCCCATGGACTGCAGCACACCAGGCCTTCCTGTCCATCACCAACTCCCAGAGTTTACTCAAACTCATGTCCAATGAGTCAGTGATGCCATCCAACCATCTTATCCTCTGTTGTCCCCTTCTCCCCATATTCAGGACTGATTTCCTTTAGGATGGAGTGGTTGGATCTCCTTGCAGTCCAAGGGACTCTCAAGAGTCTTCTCCAACACACAGTTCAAAAGCATCAATTCTTCAGTGCTCAGCTTTCTTTAGAGTCCAACTCACATCCATACATGACTACTGGAAAAACAAAAGCTTTGACTAGACGGACCTTTGTTGGCAAAGTAACGTCCCTTTAATATGCTTTTTAATGCTTTTTAATATACTGTCTAGGTTGGTCATAACTTTTCTTCCAAGGAGTAATTGTCTTTTAATTTCATGTCTGCAGTCACCACCTGCAGTGATTTTGGAGCTCCAAAAAAATAAAGTCTCTCACTGTTTCCACTGTTTCCCCATCTATTTGCCATGAAATGATGGGACCAGATGCCATGATCTTAGTTTTCTGAATGTTGAGCTTTAAGCCAACTTTTTCACTCTTCTCTTTCACCTCTAGAAGCTGGAAAAGGCGTGAAAGCAGAGTCTCTCCCAGAACCTCCAGGAAGAACACAACCCTGTCACCATTTTGATTTTAGGACTTCTGACCTTCAGAACTGTGAGACAATAAGTTTATGTTGGTTTTATCCAATAATTATTTGTTACAGCAGCAATAAGAAATTAATATATCCTATGTGTGAATTCTTTTCTGTCTTCAGGACCACACTGAATTTCAGGACTGCTGAGAGAAGCAGCTGGAAGTCAAGATGACTGTGATTCTTCACCATTGTTGTCTCCAATGGAAAGATCCTAAGGCAAAGTAGTTTAAAGCACAACATGCCTTCATACTGTCTCCCCTATCCTAATTAAAGGGCCTATTTTACTGCAAGTCTTCAGATAATTGCTTCACTCCTCCAGTTAATTTCTCACATGTAGATACAAACATTCTGGGTTGCTCAAAAAAGTCAACACATTTTTCTCCAGGTTCTTCTCCTCCTCTTTAGAGTAACTCAAGGAGTAACATCCATATATTCCCAGCTAGAACCCTAAAAATTCCAAACTCCTTCCTTTTTTCCTAACCTGGCCAGTTACCCACTCCTGTCAACTTTATCTCCAAAAAAGTTGATGAATCTGTTACCATACTCACTGCCAACTACCTTGGCTTAGCGATTTATCATATCCACTTTGGATTGTTCTGTAACAACCCTCTAAGAAGTTTCATCATCATACAAGTCATGGAAGGGCTCCATGAACTGTGGGAAAATAAATTTCTATTGTTTAAGTCACCCACTGTATGGTATTTTGTTATGGCAGCCCAAGATAACTAATATACTACCTGTATTCAGACTAAGTTGATTCAGTCATGTCTGACTCTTTCCAATCTTATAGACTGTAGCCATCAGGCTCCTTTGTCCGTGGGAGTACCCAGGCAAGGATACGGTCATGAGTTGCCATCTCCTTCTCCAGGGGATCTTCACAACCCAGAAATTGAACCCATTTCTCTGACATCTGCTGCACTGGCGAGAAATGCAGGTGAGAAATCATTAAAAGTTTCTAAGAAAGTAGATTTTATGAGTTCTCATCACAATAAAAAAATTGTAGCTATGTATGTTTCAGATGTTAACTAATTTTATCATGATAATTTCACAATATATACAAATGTCAAATCATTATGTTGTATGAGTGTGCAAGCTCAGTCGTGTCCTACTCTTTGTGACCCTGTGGACTGTAGCTCACCAAGCTCCTCTGTCTGTAGGGTTTTCCAGGCAAGAATACTGGAGTGGGTTGCCATTTCCTTCTCCAGCATTATGTTGTATACCTGAAACTAATATAATACTATATATCAATTATGGCTCAATAAAAGTTAAAAGATTTCTTTCTGTCACTGAAATAATTAATTAAGAATATTGTTAAAAAAAAAAAAGAATGTTGTTGTTTAGTCACTAAGTCATATCCAACACTTTGTGACCCCATGGACTGCAGGCCTCCAAGCCTCCCTGTCCTTCACTATTTCCTGGAGTGTGCTCAAACTCACGTCCATTGAGTCAATGATGCTGTCCAACCATCTCATCCTCTGTCATCCCCTTCTCCATAGACCATAACCCACCAGGCTCCTCTGTCCATGGAATTCTCCAGCAAAGAATACTGGAGTAGGTAGTCATTCCCTTCTCCAGGGGATCTTCCCCACCCAGGGATCAAACCTGGGTCTTTTGCATTGCAGGCGGGTTCTTTACCATCTGAGCCACCAGGGAAGCCACAATTGAGAATTAGATTAAGAATTAGAGCAAATGCTCTTCTTACCCGATAAAAATAGTGATAGAAAAAAAAATTTTTAATTCTTTTGTTGGCTGAAAAAAATGCACAACATGAGAGTTGTGAGTTAAATTTTATTGGGGGCAAAATGAGCACTATAACCCCAGATACAGCCTCTCAGAAAGCTCTGAGGAACTGCTCCAAAGAGGTGAGGGAGGGTCAGATTATATATGATATTAGTGAACAGGGGTATAATATACAGTCAAGCACATGTTTTGGCAGAGACTTGCTGCTAGTCACACGGAACAGATGTCTCTGTTAATGATTTTAGTCTTTTCTAGACATGAGAAAATACAAGAATTGGGGCTCATTAAATCTTCTGAAAATATGTAACTATGTGAAGGGCTGTTCTACCAGTTTTGCCCAGAGCACAGAGTTCCTCCTTCCTGGTCTCCACCCTGAACTCCTTTCAGGCTGTGTTGAAGGTCAGCAACTGCAGTGGCCAGTGACCTAATCTTTGTAGAGACAGATGGTGAATGACAATTTTTATTTGACACCTTGTAGTAAGTTTTTATACTTTTTATACAAAAGCTCTGACTCACTAATTAGCAACAGTTCTGAATTTCAAAGGAAAGCAGAATTCTAACCTGCTTGGTAAGAATTGCAATTATGTTCAGTGACAAATTAAGGGATCATCCTCCTTTTACTATATTCAAAAGCAAATAAAATTTAACCATTATGAAGTCATATCAAATTATATGGTTTAGGGGCAGTTGATAGAGGGTTGTTTTAAGTAATTTAAAAAAAAAAAAGCCTAGGATTAGAGTGGTTGGTTACAATTCTGTGTGGACCTAACAGAAAAGTGGGAGTGGGAAGCAGCTGAAAAGTATCTAAAGCTCAAAGATATTTTAATGGGAAAAGGAAATACTAACTCTAAAAATTATGCAAATGAAGGTGGTGTTTCCTTTAGATTCTGGTTTCATGAAAAAGAGAGCCACTCAAATAGTCTCAATGAAAGGAAACTCATAGTGATGTTCTATAAGCTATCCAGTCTTTCTGGTATAGTAGCCGAATCAGACTAAGACACCTGTCGTCGGCACAATTCAGCTGATCTCCACATGTCTCCTCCCTGTCACTGCCAGCTTGCTTATTCTCACCCTTATCCAGTCCATCTTACATGCTTCCCCATAGATGGCTTTCCCTGCTCACAGATCTTATAACTCATACTGTCTTCCTTAAAATTCCTTATAAATTTGGCTGGCTATGGCCACACAAGGTTCTGACCGCTTCTCTTAGCATTTTTCATCTTTACCTCTACAAGCAACAACCTTATTCTTTCCAAATTTCAGATCAGAAAAACATGCTGATAGACTCAGGTCATGGTTTCACATCTCTGGGTTGTTGGTCCATCTGTTGGAGGACCCGAAATCAGATCTAAGCAGCTCCGGAGAAAGAGTGGGGGAGGGACTTAGACAAGGTCCCACAGGGTACAGGGACCTGGTAGGTATTTGGTGGCCTGACCCATCAAGAATTAAGAACAAAAAGAAGCTTGAGAACAAAAATGAGGGAGGGCTAGCCTTGTATTTTTAAATCTGGATCTGAATATAGGTCAAAATCTAAACCCAGATAAGATGTGGCTACAGGGATTTTTTTTTCCTTTTAAATTAAATTTACAATAAATTAGCAGAAGTGTATGTGTGTGTGTGTGTGTGTGTGTGTGTGTGTGTGTGTATTCTTCTCTTTAAGACATACTATTCCCATTTCTAAGGAGCAACAGTAAATAAGAACAAAGAAGTCATCATGGCCTCAAAACAAAGCTCTGAGCCCTTAGCATTTGGAAAATGGCAAGTTCTGAGCAACCATTCAAAGACCTGCACACGTGCTGCCCAAGAGAAACCAAGTGAGAGGCACAAATGTGAGCCTCATGTGCAAGCTCACATTATTTAGTAGCCACATTTTAAAAAGTAATAAGGAACAAGTGGAACATATTTTAGTAATATATTTTATTTAACCTAATTTATCCAAAATGTTATTACTTTGACATGTGATCGGTATTTTTTTGAATTAATGACAGAGCTTACAATTCTTCCTTTTCATACTGAGACCTCAAAAGCCAGTGTGTTTTACACGGACAGTACCTTGCACTGTGACCGGCCATATATCACACACTTAATAGCCACTGGTGGCCACTTGGAATGGCATAATACTTGTTCAACCTAAGATGGGAAAAGCAGGTAGTAGGAACAGGGTCAGGTCAAAGAATCAGGCAAGGCTGAGCGCTGGCTTGCTCTAGAGGGCTCCAGGCCAGATTGATGACACTGGGAACAGCACTGCCTTCTGCTGAAGTCAAGCTGGGGCAGGGCAGCCTGGAAAATGCAGCGAGGGGAGGTGCAGAAAGGGAAGAAGAGCAGAGAGGCTGGGGAAGGAAGAAATAAAGTGAAAAGGGTGGGAGGAAAGATGGGGAAGGAAACCATGAAGGACAAGGCATGTGTTGGAACCACAATGCAGGAGGAGCTTGAACAGCCCCAGAAAGGGCACGGTGATGCCTGGGAGGGAGCTGCCTTGTGCCCAGAGGGAATTACAGAGGCAAACAAAGAAGAAAGGACCCGAGCAACTCCAGGAGAAACTCCAGCCTGCGTGCTGCCCTGAACCACAGTGGGGCTGAAATCACCAGGCCCAGAAACACAGTTCACAAAAATCAAACGCCCAGAAAAATCAACAGAGAGGCATCAAGGACGCATGCCCTTTCCATAGTTGACAGAAGCAGAATATGTTTTGTTTCATATGAACAAATCAACTCAATTGATGAATGTACTTGAGGTCTTGGTAATGAGCTCCATGGGAAGGCTTCACATAAAGAGAAAATAATCGCGGGGCACGTTTTTCATGAGTGAAGAAAAAAAGACCTGTTCTAATGGAAAGTGAGCTAGCAGTTCAAGTGATCAACACTTTTTTCTTTCATTTTCACTTCGTTCATGAGTACCATGTTTCAGTGGAAGAGCTTTTCCTGTTTCAAACACTGCAGCAAAAGATGCTATGTGGCAAAACTCCATCAGAAGCAACCCATCCAGATGCAAAGAGGCCAAGATCTCAGGGAAAGATCAGAAAGGTGGTTTTCCCTTTCGTTTGCCATGATGACTCACCAAACAAAGAAGTTGGGCATCTGCCCCTAACCATTTTTACAAACATTCGAGTTACAGACGGTGCCCATTAGCAGTAGGTACCAGAGCAAGTAAGTGCTCTTCAGCGTGAGTCATGTATATAAACGAAATGAAATGAATGCAACTGACTACACAGAGATGGCAGGAGGAAAGTGCCTTCATTATATAAAAAAGAAACCTGAACCCCTCCTGCTGCTGCTATAGCAGCTTCGTCCAATAAAAATAGGTATTAAAGCTCAAATAAAACAAAGCGGAGGCTTAATGCCATAACGGAGTACCTCTTAAAATTAAAGTGAAAAGGTAAAACATAATGTTAAAGAGTGTTTAATGACATGAAAAGATGTTTCTGATATTTTGTTAAATAAAAAAAACATGTTATAAAAACATGTTCACTATGATCTCATTTTTGTTAATTTTATATAAGCAAATGAGCACAGAAAATGCTGGACTGAAATGTCCACAGGGGTGGGATTATAGTTGGTTTATATTTTTTTTTCTATCTATATTTTCCAAATATTGTACAAATGTTCTACAATAAATATTATTGTATCAAAAAAAACAAACAAACAACTCTTCCATGGAGCATAAAGGTGCTTTGTTTTTGAGATTGGTGTCTAACA